CATTTGTCACAGTGATAACTGCATACAGATTGCCTGTCTTTAACTAAAGAAAGCTCACTTCCTCCGAGGCTTTTAGCTGTCTGCAAATGCCTAAATGAAGCCTTTCTTTTGACACCCATGGGCTCCCTGGGGTGCTTATGTCAGTTCCTAGTGCTATCCCTTTTCATCTTAATGCACACCTGTCAGACTGCTCGGAATTTCTCTTCAGTATCACCTTCCCCTGAAGGCTCCTTCAGCCTGAATAAACTTGGGTTTATTCACAAGTGAAATAAATTTGCCCTCCGACTTGACGGTTCTGCCTTGAAAAGCCTGAAGGAGCAAAAAGCCGAGTGGTTTGAAACTCAGTCTTTCCAAATTGTACACTTTGCAGCTGGACACCACAAAATCTGTTTAAGGGTTCTTGTTAAGACCAGACGATCCTCAGAAAGGGCCCTGAGCGTACAGCCTATGAAACCACCAGATCTAAGATTTTCTGTAACGTTTCCCAGAATTTAAAGAAATACAGGACTTTTTAAAGCTTTCGGCTTTAGATGCGACTGGTCTCTCACAAAGTCTACCACCGTATCCCGAGGACAAGTTGATCCGCGCAGGCAAGTGACACCCGCGCGGAGCATCCTTGTGTCCGCTGCCCTGCCTGCCCGAGCTCGGCCCCCAGCGCCTGCCCGGAGCTCCCGCGGCGCTCCCTGAGCCGAGCGCTTCCCGCGAGAGGCGCGCCCGCGGCAGCGGCTCTCTGAAGGAAGAAGGCGAAAAAAGGAGCAGCGAAGAGACAGGACCGTGCCCGGGCACCGACACGAACCCGCTGTGAGCCCGCTGTGAGCCGGCTAGGAGAGGAACAGCGCATCCCCGGCATCCCCGCCGCCGCCCCGGTGCCCGCCCGTCCCGCCGCTCACCGATAGTAGAAACGACGGTGCCCACGAAGTAGAAAGCGCCGGTGAAATCCCATCGGGGCCGGATGTCATCGACGCGGATGCCGGCCACGTTCGCCTCCTCGTATTCCCGGAGGAAGTGCTGGAGCTCGGCACGGGTGAGGTTGTGGCGCCGGGTGAAGTTCTCCAGGCGTTCCTCCCAGCGCTCCTTAGCCTCCCGCTCCGTGGGCAGCTCGATGGCCGAGAAGACGGCGGCGCCGCACAGCATGTACAGCACGATCAGCACCGCCAGCAGGAGGAACCGCGCGTTGTCCGCGTTGAGGCGACCCGCGCTGGAGCAGCAGCAGGCGCCGCGACACGCCATCCTCCGCCGGCGGGACCGGGCTGCCGCGCCGCCACGCTACGTCGGAGCCCTGCTGCCGCCGCCGGGCATCACGGCGCCGCCCGCCAGCCGTACGCGGGGCTCAGGGCGCCGCGGAGCCCGGCGGCGGCGAGCGGCGCTCCCGGGAGCCGGCCGGCACCTTCGCCCCGGGGGCAGGGCGCGGCCCCGGCACGGCCCCGCGGCGGGCGCGCTTCGGGCTGCCGAGCATCCTGAGGGCCAGGGAGCCGCTCGTCCCGTCCCGTCTCAGAGCCCCTCAGCCCCGGCGCCCACCGCGCGGGGCTCCCGTCCCCGCCACTTTCATATCCCCTTCCTGCCCCCGCCCCGAGCACGTCGGAGCGGGGCGCAGGGACAGGCACCGCCAGGCGCCTCCTGCCTGCCGGGGGGACGAGGCGGGACCGGCGGCAGCTCGCCCCCCGCCCTCCGCTTCGCCGCGGGGCTCGGCCACCCGGTCCCCCGCACCATGGCCTCGGGGGAGCCGCGGGCCGGGCCGAGCCGAGCCGCGCCCTCAGGAGCAGCTCCCACAGCAGAGCGCGGCCGCCGCCCCCGGAGCCCAGCGCCGGCAGCGGGCAGGGCGGGCTGGCAGAGCGCGGCTGCCCCGCGGCCTCCAGCCCTCAGAGGGGCGGGGGCCGCCCCCCTTCCCGCCCTCAGGTACCCGGCCCGGGCTGTGGGGCCGAGGAGCGCCCGAGGCAACCGGGCACGAAACCCGTCAGTCGGTGATATCCCCTCCCATCAAAGCCATAAAAATTAGCGCCCTTTGCCGAAAGAGGATACCTCCTTCTCCCCAGGTCTGGTTACCCACTGCCTTCCCGACAAAGTGCTACATCTCTGTCCTCCAGCGCATGGTAGTCGAAGGGAAATTGTTTAGGGAAGGCAGAAGCAGCCTTTCCAGCTGCTATGTGGTTTTAAAATTAGTTATTTGCAGGTTCAAAGAGCAGAGCTGTCGATCCAAATCTGCTGGAAATATCATTCTCACTATAAGAAGAAAAAACTAAACTCTACTACCTGGTAGTTGCTACAGAGCTGAATTCTACTTTTAAATAATCAGGGCTGGAATTCAGCTGTGCTAAACGTAATGGTATACAAGCACATTCTTTCCAGGGAAGGACAACCTACATATATTTTTTCAGAAAGCAGGTTAATGAACTATAACATCCACTTCCCTTCCCGTCCCCCCCCCCCACCATTTTCTAATACTTGTGTTGCAGTCAAAATGCAATGGGAGTGAACGCTATGATCTTAGAAAACTCCCTTAATGGCAGATAATTATACACTCCATATAAGAGCCATTGATTGTCTCACAGCCTGAGGTATTTGAGTATTGGTCTGAGCCCTAAGGGTGCACTGTGGCAGTTCCAATGCCAGCGTTTGAGAGGATCACCACCTGTGTGACAACTGCTAGAGCAGCAGGCACAAGGAAAATGAGTCCTTATGTTGCACAGTAAGCCAGCAGCCAGGGATAAATGCAAGTTGTGTTTAATTTTTTCCTATTTCTTGTTATTCTTAGGTGATACATCACGTGGCAGGTTTTTATTCCCTCTTAATTAGTCTTTAGCATAGACTTTAGCGTGGAAATTAAAATTAGCAGCAATACTAGAAGACATTAAATAGCCAAAAATAGGAAGATGAGATGCCAGCCAAACCAGACTGTGCTAACGGTAACAACACTTCCATTAAAAAATGCTGCTGTATCTTTAAAATTATTGGCAGTTCCTATTAGAAGAAAAAACCAAAACCCACCTATACTTCCCGCTTTGCCAGTCAGAAGGAAGACAGAACTCAGCCATTACATGCTCAACCAGCAAAGGCAGCAAAACTGAGTGAGCACCCTCTATCCATACCTATGGCTCCATCCATCAAACCTGCTCAAGGGTGCCTTGGATTAGCACAGTGGGAAAAAGAGCCTTTAGCTGATTGCAACCATCAATGTGATTTTTTTGCCCAAAGGAATATGAACAACAGTAACACTATTCAAAGGAATATCCAAGGTAAATTATTCAAGGTTATTGAGTTCCTCCTTATTTACATACTTTGTTAGTGTGGAATGTCATTTTTGTGTTTGTCTTGGGCACAGCAATAGTTACTGCATTAAAGCAGGTAAGATCATCTGGCACAGTTTTGAAAGACACATGTACTACTGTCATTGATCATCAAAAATTGCAAATTCCCTTAATTTGTCAACTTTGATCTTGGCAGTGATTTAATCATCTCTTGAGAAGGTGTCTTTTTAAGGATATGCTCCCTATTAAAGGATAGAACAAGAGCAAGTTGATATTGACCAGAATCTTGAAAAAGAAAATGAAACTATGGCTTATTCTAAAGAATACTTTATTGTCAAACAGGTCACCATTCCCACTGCTCTTGGGTAAATAGCTGGAAAAACTGGAGTGTGTGGAAAGCAGGAACAGTGTAATCAGCCAGCCATCCATAACATTTAAGCAAGGTAGAATACAGAAATGCAGTGTGTTCACTGGCATAAAAAAAATAAAAAGTAACTTTTAGTTTCAGGTAAAAAACAAAAAAAAGTAAGTAGTTAAACATGTTGCTGACATTTAATTAACCCCAAATCAAAGTGAATATCTGCAAGCCTGAGCCCTGAATGCAATGCCATTACCCTCAGTACAGTCACTTGGCACCACTATCAGGAAACATGCTGCTTTCCCTACCCCTCAGCAGCACGAGCACACAGCTCCCTCGTGTCTGTGTGCAGGCATTTGGGGACAACAGATTGGTGGTGGTAAGGCTTAGCACAATTGTAAAATAATAGGAAGGAAAAATCAATATATTTACCAATTCTGTTGATAATATTGACTGGCAGCCCTGTAATTAAGAAAGCCAACAGTCACTGAGTACCCCAATAATGATTACTAGTAAGTGTCTGGTCAGAGTAGAATTATTATTAATGCATCATCAAATTACTTGGAAAACTCATGCAGACATTTAGTTACTCTCATTGACAGTGTCAGTACTTTTTAATTAGAGGTCTCCTTTAGAGATGCTTAGCTGGTACACTTAACCAAAACTCACTGATTTTCTTTGGTGAAGCTCTGGAATGGCTGCAATGTACTCCTGAGCCACTTCATGCCTAATGAAATATCCTGACAGAGAAGTAAATAAACCAGCCCTCCATTACTTTTGATACTGAACAAAAATTCTTCAGGAACATAATTCAGGAACATCATAACCTTGACACTAACAAACTAATTTGAACAATGCCTGACAACCCTCAGTGAAGGATTTTCCTCTAATATCCAATTTAAACTTTCCCTGGTGAAACTTCAGACTCCTCTTGTCCCCTCACTTGTTACCTGGGAGAAGAGGCTGATTCCCACCTGGCCACCACCTCCTTGCAGGTAATTGTAGAGAGCAGTAACATCTCTACTGAGACTCCATTTCTCCATGCTAAACATTCCTAGCTGCTCCAGTTATTCCTTGGAAGACTTGTGCTCCAGACCTTCCAACCAGCTCCAATGCCCTTCTCTGGACATGTTCCAGCCCCTCAATTTCTTGTCATGAGGGGCCCAAAACTGGACACAGCACTCGAGGTGTGGCCTCAAAAGTGCTGAGCATGGGGGGACAATGACTGCCCTGGTCCTGCTGGCCACACTAATTTTGATACAAGCAATGTGTTCTATTAATGGGATATGTCAATTTTATCAAATACCTGGGAGTACACTTGCAAGATACAAGTTACAACCTAATCTGAAATGTACACATTTAGAAGACAGAACAAAGGATATATTAACAAGATTGCCTTTATTTTAATTTGAATTTTACATATAATTTTTATTCCAGCTACTGGGATCAACTGACAGTCTCACAGAGCAGTAATTTTAAAATTAATTACAGCTATAAATGCAGAGAGACTCTCTGAGAACAGTTCTTGTCTTGAAAACCATATTAGGAACCACAGTGAAGAAAAAGCATATAAAAGGTATTGAAAAAAGCAGGTTCACTTGTAATAATGTGGTTACAGATTCTCCAAGAATCTCTCCCTTATTAACATTTTAATGTTTCAACTACAAATTAGCCATTAGAGCAGACATTATAGCTTACAGAACAGAAACAAGCAGTTTTTGCAAGTCAGGCTCAGTGTCAGCAAGTGGAACATCACAGAGTACTGGAAACACTTATGATGGAACCCACATATTTCCATGTGTATCAGGGGCATCAGTGTAAGGAATATTCCAAATCCACGGTTGATCTGCAAACCAAAACAGAAACATACTCACGACAAATTGATTTATCAAATGCAAAATTTGATTCTCCTCCTCTTTTCCCTCTGGAGGGAAGAGGAAGGTCCAAATTCTCACTGATTTTCAATTAACATCATGTGCAATTTCAGTTTAGTGGACATTTTTGTTTTCTTTTTTTTTTTTAACTGTAAGATAGAGAATTATTAAAAGGTTTTGCTTTCTCCCCAGATATTATTTTAAATATAGTTATAACCCAACATGCTCACCAGCTGTATAAGAACTGTATTTCAGATAATATACAAGTACAGTAATGGAGCCAAATTTGGTATGGCCTAGTGCCAGCAAATTTTGTGCTGCATCTCTCTTAACCCAATGTAATTATAAATAAGCACTGTAACATATGAATATTTTTCACAGGGACAGTAAGAATTCAGTACCTAAGAATGACACTGCCTGACCTCTGAAAAGTTCACATTTACCCCTCACTTCTTCAAACATTACATTTTCAGATGGGCAACATAAAATTTGCTCAAGGTAGCTATTATTGGTTTGCACCACACAGTTCCCTCCCACTTCTCAGAATACAGAAGCTCTTTCCATTCTTGGGAAAGAGAAAAGGCAACAAAGCAGAAGTTAACTGCCAGCTCTGCAACCTGCTCTGTGCTCTTCCTCCTACCATACATGTGGCAGAAATGCAGCTGTTCTATGAATCCAAGGTATTATTCTACTCCTTGCAGGCTACTCCTACTGAAATACAGAAAAATCCTTTAACCCTTTTTTCAGTGATTTTTCTCATTTAAGAAATTTATGTTAATCTAGCCTGCTTCTTCTCTCCATGTACAAAATGAGCCCTGAAGGAATACAGTGACATTAATCTGTAATATGCATAGATTAAACAGAATTGTACCAAGGATGACAGGAATAGCTATTGACTGAGATTACTTTTATCCAATTAAATTTACAGGATCCAATGACAATGCTTGACAATATAGGAAGTGAGAATTACTGTAGCAAGGAAAGGAGAATAAGAAAGTGACAAAATCAGTAATGAAGGGTTATATAAAGTACACAACAGCACACTGTGACAAGTACCATGGGAATTAAACATGGGCAGAGGGATCACTGCTACTAAGTACTCATTACTTGCCACAGGAGTGTTCTTCATTCTCATACTGTAGTTCCATATGTTGCAGTAAAACACATCCCAGCTATGCAAATGTTTTAAAACATGTCTACTTACAGCAGGAAGAGAGCAGTAGGGTAGGTGGTTGGTTTTTTGTTACAGTGGACAGGTGATTTCAAAGCATATAAAAAATAAAAGGCACCAGAAACCAGAAGAAAGAGCACTTAAGTCACATTGCACTGCCAAGAAAGCTCTCTAGGTTTCTGGCCCAACTACAAGATATCTGGACTTTGAGTCATCTCTTAAAAAGAAAAAAAAAAGTAGCACCATTATTTCCCTATGCTTGTTTTATCAGTCTCCTGCTGGAGAGCCATGTGTACCTTTTGTATTTTAGGTGAATACCAGATAGTAAACATTAACAGTTAAAAAAATGGGTACAGAATAAAGTAAATGTTGGGAAAAGCACTGAGGATTTCAAACATACATTCAGATTTAAGCACTGACCTCTATCTATGACATCAGAATAAATCCAGTCCCACTCAAGCACTGGAATCTGTCACTCAAGAGTACATTATGCAGCTTAGACCTATCCATCTTCCCTACTTTCCTACCATCTGGCAGTGACTCTGCTTAATTCAGCAAAACATGCAGGCAGAGAAAAACTTCAGATGTACAGAAATAACTCCAGTCATCTCCTTAAAGCATGCTGAGAGGTCTCAATCCCTAATTTAGCTCTTTCTAATTGTAGCTATCTAAATAAAATTTGCTCAAGGTAGCTATTATTGTACTTGGAACTTTGTTCTGTTAATATGATGCTGTTGATTTTCTAAAACAGCTGAAAGTATTTTAATAAGTCATGTGTAGAACTATTGCTGATACAAATTACAATTCAGTTATTTATAAAATGGCAGGTTCAATTTTAAACTATTCATCACTTTTAATAGGACCTATAACAGCAAGAGAAAGGCAATGACTGTGCACAAATACTGTATGATGGCAGCTGTTTACTGTTGCACATGAAAATGACTGCCAAACTTCTCAAAGTTAATTCCTTTGACCTTCTTGGAGGGGTGTGTGTGTGTGGAAACAAAAGCCCCAATAATTTTTCAAGTGTCCTGAACATACCTACCTTTCACACATTTCAAGATCAGTGCTTCATCTCTGATACCCCAACTGCACCTCACCGGAGTCAGTGTTATCTACTAGGCTGGTACCACAGCTTCACTCCTGCCTCATTTACAAGCAGCAGAACTCCAGCAGTGGAGTCAGCACTCAGTAAAATAAATGGAGCCATTCCTCTCCCACTGCTACTTAAACATTGTCTGAAAGCTCAGGTGGAGCACTGTTTCATTTATACTCAGATTTTTGAACATCCTCTCACAACTTAAAAGACCACCACATTTTACATAAAGGTAGAGAGGCTCTGGAGAACTAGACAAGTTCTTTTTGAGTAACACCTGAGTATCACTCAAAGAATCCATGCTGGCAGGCCACCTCAAGCCTTCATGTTCTCATAAAGATGACAGATGGCAGTACACTCAAAACTAGGCACACACAATTGAATAGCAAAGGATAAAACACAAAGAAAGCACCTTTGTGATCCTCTTCCTATGGGTGTCTTTTGCACTCTGAGTGGAGATCTGGATGAGAGAATTCCTGGTTGATTTCTAAGCCCAGAGACTGGATTCTTACCTCTACTTAATTTAAAAAGATAGCTTCAAAGCAACAAGTATTCATATATATAAAAAGGTTGCAAATAACCAGACTTCAAGTCATTCTACATGGCAAACTCACTCCTTGCTGCATGAATCTGGAAAGTTCTTCCTTAAGCATTTGCAAAAGGTGCACCCTGCACTTCAGTCTCTCTTGTCCCCTCCCTCTGGATGAGCACGGCATTTGAAAACGAACTAGTCTTGTTCCTCTCAATGCAAAAATCATACTTCAAGATCTCAAGGAGGAGGAAAGGCAGATGGGGAACAAATGTGGGATCTATATGAATATTCACAAACAAAGTGATGATTTCTGAATACCAGGACAATGACCACTTGTTTGGGAAGTAAACAAATTATAAAAAAGCACGACCCACTACTGCAGCTTTAAACACAGGATTTGCTTTGTTTCTCAACAAAGTGCTGATGTGATGAGGAAAAAAAAAGGATTTTGCACTTTTTTGAGACTTTCCCCAAATTGTTATTAAAAAAACCTTGATATACTTCGAGTTCCCTCCACACAACAGATGATTTCTTCAGTCAGTAAACCGTGTAATATCAAATCACAAATGAAGTGAGACTCCTTGACTACAGTAAGCAACTTCTATTGGCAAGAGAGATAACAGCAATACTGCAACTGAGATGTGACGATGGGAGCTCGGTGAGAAAATGTTATACAACAAAAATGTTATACAACAAAATCTCAGTACTCATTTAGAAGATTCTACAAGAAAATAAAAATCTGAGTACTGTTAATGACACAAAGAAGTTTTATTTATAGGCTATTGTGTGCATGATTTCCAAACACCAGACTGGATAATTTTCAGCTTCCCTTCCAAGGAACTCTCAACTCATACTGCTGGTCTATAGGTTTCATTTATCTTAGTATCATCGATACAGTAAGCTTTGCAATAGTCCTTTTTGTTATGACAGCCTGAATCTGCTGGTTAACTACAGAGACCTTCAGGACATTGATGTATCTTTATGATTTATCTAAATATTGAGTAGTACTGCCAGCTACCAGTTTTTAATTTTTTTAATGTTTTGCCCTAAAGACACATGTGCTGACCACAAATAGACTTCTGCTGTTCAGCTGACTATTGAAGGTGATCAACTGCAATTGCTCAAAACAGCAATGTGAAAAGTTAATAATGTACATGTTGCACACAACAAATGTTATCTGCTAAAAATTAATGAAGTCATGTAGAATACAAGCCTACTTTTCCTCTGAAGTCACACCTTACCTTTGCTTCCATACTTTTCTGGTGGGAGGTCATAAGGTACAGGAAAATATGTTGCTGAATCTTTCCTTTCTGGAAGCTTTTCCCTTCCTACATGAAAGTAACCTTTGTCCAATCCCTATGAAAGAACAGAAAAACACAGAAGAAAAGATTCATTAGTTTCTGGGACAAAGACAAAATTAATTTTCAATAGATGCTTTCTCAGTGCGCTATTTTAATGAACAAAACTTTCTACCTCCTTTACTGTGATTGGATACTTCATGAAGCACCTTAAAAAATCAGCTTCTTTTACTTCTACTATTTCAGCTCTTCTCTTTTTATTACAACCATTGGCCTGGTCATGTGGGTCCATATTGGATATATTCTGCCTTCTCAGGCCCCTACACATACACCAATTTACTTTCATGTTCACTAGGTGAACTCCTTCAGTGTTTAATATTTAACTGAAGTGAAAAGCTTCTAAAATTTCTCTTTGCTGCTTAGTTTCATTCTGACCACATTAACTCGATGCTCATTATGTTTCATGGACTAAACCAGATATCACTTTGTGTTATAGAAGCAAGTCTTCAAATCTGTGCTTTTCAGACATGTTGGGTAACATCATCCACAGACACAAAGAAATTTAATGAAGATTTGAAACTGCTTGCACAAAATCTTCAAAGACTAAACTTATATTAGAATGACAGCATTACTGTCAAACAAGGTTAAGGACTAAAAAAAGAAAAATGCAATACAGTACAAAGGTAGACACATTTAAAATGATTCGAGTAACTTGGGCAGATGGTATTGCTTAGCTACTTCTCCAGAGAAATTGGATCCCAACTGTAGTGAGCTACATGAAAGCAAATATCTTCATTCTGAGCTTTCAAATAGCTTACTGTCAATCAAGTAGTTTGATTAGAACAGACTAGAAATGTAAAGGCTATCAAGTTTCTTTATTTATAAGATATTACTGACAACGATTTTTCTTTCTAAAATCAAAGAATAGTTTGGGTTGGAAGGGATCTTCAAAGGTCATCTAGGTCAATCCCTGTACACTCTGCAGGGACATGTTCCACTAGCAGCAGGTTGCTCAGAGCCCCATCCAACCTGATGCTGAATGTTCCCAGGGATGGGCTATCTACCATCTCTCAGGGCAACCTGTGCCAATGTTTCACTACCCTCACAGTAAAGAAATTCTTCCTTAGCTCTAGTCTAAATATATCCTCTTCTAGTTTAGAACCACTGCCCCTTGTCCTGTCCCTACAGCTCCTGTTAAAAAGTCTGTCCCCACCTTTCTTATAAGCCTCCTTTCAGTTGTAAAAGGCTGCAATAAAGTTTCCCTGGAGCCTTCTCTTCTCCAGGCTGAAGAACCCCAAGCTCTCTCTGTCTTTCCCCACAGGAGAGGTGCTCCAGCTCTGACCATTTCTGTGTCTCTTCTCTGGACTCAGTCCAACAGGTCCTTCCTGTGCTGGGCCCCCAGGGCTGGATGCAGCCCTGCAGGTGGGGTCTCATCAGAGCAGAGGGGCAGAATCCCCTCCCTGCCCTGCTGCCCATGCTGCTCTGGATGCAGCCCAGGACACAACTGGCTCTCTGGGCTGCTCATGTCCAGTTATTAACTTACACTTGATTCAAGCTCTATGGTCCACCAGTCTGAGTTTCACAGCATTACTGTTTTGTGATAGTACAAGCAAGCATCCTAATTGCCAAAAAATCCCGTGGTATTCAAACACACACACAGTCTGAAGGGAGAGTCCCAGCTATACACAATACTGCAAGTCTTTCTTCACTAGAGTTTTACACCATCAAATGCCATCATTTTAAGTTGGAGACAGCAGCATCCACATATGACCACATAAAGCATGGGAATCAATGCAGCCTTGTGCCTTTTTCTTTAATATTCTTAAAGAAGAATAGTAACCTAGAAAAAGGAGAGCTGCCAAAGACAATGTCAGACAGCAGTTCTAGCAAGTCAGTTCAAGAATCTCCCTTAGAATATAGATGCATCTTTTGTCTCATGACCCAAAGTAAGAACAAACTATAGGTTATGATGTAAGAAACATTGTACATTATTTCAAGGACTAGGAAAAAGCCACTGCCCTTTAAAGGAAAGAACAGAAGAAACAAACAAGGTCCATGCTAAAGGACTGCATGAAAGAAAATCCAGTTTGAACTTCCCTTTCTTATATAATTTCACTCAGATATTTTGATAAATCTGCATTAAAACCAGGCTACAGCATTTTGTGGAACTTAGCCTTAAGGTAACAAGTAATACATTCAAAACAGACCAATGTAAAGATGCAAGATTGCTTTTAAAAGCTCATAAACATCTAAGGGTTTGAAAATTACTGGAAAAAATTCATAATTACTTACACAAAATGCAATCAAGTTGTATAGACTTCCTTCCAATGAATTTGAATCACTCAGGGATTGGTAGAAATATCATGTAAAGATGCAAAAACCATACTTCTGTTTGAGTTGAAAGAACATGAAATATGCCAGAGATTTTACAGCTCACAAACAACAGGAACTGTGTAAGTGGTGGTGGTGCTGAAATATATTTTTTCATAACTCACAGCAGTGAGGTTGCACTTGGCAGGAGGGTCTGGGTGGTGTGTGTTCCTAGATACTACTCACAAGATGGCATTTAAATTGTCAGCATGTATGTGACATGTATGAGGTCTGATTGCCCAGACATCCCACGAGCTTCTCTGGTCTTCTACATCACCTAGAGAAGAAATGTGGAACAGCAGGGAAAGTTCCTCTGCCATACTGTGAGATGGTTTTATGCTACAACAAACGTCACGTGCCTGAACAACAGCACCACAACTACAAAGCTGCTGCCTGGCACCATCTGAGTTGGACATTTGTGAAACCCTTACTATCACAAAGCACAGTGTAGAACACAACCTACCTCAGCCTCTACCTACAAAGTAAGGACACTTTTCATCTGGTTTTCTTCCTCCCTGTTATCCATTATGTTCTTCAACCTAGCAGTATTTTTGTTTCTGCTTAATTTCTTCTACACTCCATGCCCTCTAACTTCTTCAGCGTTTTTCTTTCCAGGCATTTTACCTCCTTCTCTTGTTATACAACTTTGGTTTTCTCTGCCTTTTCTTCCTCAGTACTCAGCAATTATATTTCCCTTTCCTCTGATGCTGTCCCCCAGTGCAGCTTGACTCAGTTCATCCCAGAACAGTTTTATTTGTCTGTCAGAACTTAACCCATAGAGATCTTCCATTCAGGAAATATTCATCTAAGAAAAGACATTTGTTTTTTCTCAAAACACACTGGAGTAAGTGTCTAGTTTGTGGAATACATTCTTTAACAAGGCTCTCTGAGGAGATTCACATGCTTTTAAAAATAACTCATGTGTCTATCTTCACACAGAAATTGAAGTAAGTCACACTTTGTCTGTTTTGAGCATTTCCTGAATGTTGACAGCTCTCACTGCTGTTTCCAGAAAACAAACCAGCAGGATCTTGCAGAAAATAATTTTGTCTGACTTATAAATTTTCCTCAGCCATATTCTATTCTTTCAGAACTTTTCCCTCAGCAGCTTTATTTTGCTCTTTGACTGCTGCTTACAGCAATACATTTTGAAATTCTGATAAATACATATCTCAATTGGGAAAGAATTTTTTTTGTACTTTTAAAACTTAGGTGCTGATAGGGCTTCTATTAGTAGCTTAGCATCATACATTGAAAAAGCAGACACTGGGAAAAATGGGAAAAGGAAGTTTAACAGCTCTTAAAATACTGTCTTCCAGTTTTTGCATGTTTTTTTTTTGCCCCAAACACAAAGCAGACTGCAGGCTATAAAAAAAGAGATCACAAGATAAAGGTAAGAATTACTAGCCCTACTGAAGTGGGAATTAAGACTGATACCATTACAGAATTTTGATCCTACTGATGTAATTTTTAACAGGAGACAACTATTATCCCACTGGATTGATTATGGGATTGATGTTTCCAATGCCACTAACAGAAACATAGCCCTTTTTGGCAAAACTACTTAAAAACTTGCTGGTTTCAGCAGCAAAGAATTAAGGATGCACACAAACTATAGGGGCCAGGCTCATCAGGCCAGCAGAATACACAGCAAAATCCTTCCTCAACACTGGGCACAATTATTCCAAAGAGAGCTTTATCCAACTGTACCAGAAAAATTGTTTTTTTTTTTAATAGGAAGCCAACAGTGACAAACTCAGGTATCTAAAGCTGGAGGTTCTTGGTTTGGAACATATGTGTCTGGGTGTCTTTAATACTGGAATTTGAAAACCTTGTGGCAGTTCTGTGAACACTTAAAGCAAGGCTTAGCATCTTGAAGTCTACATACAAAACCTTTGTTTACTTACATTGTATTACCTTTCCCACTCCATTTTACATGGGATGAAAGACTTCATCTAAAACTAGAGAAACCAAAGAAGAAAGTGGTATTACATTGCCTTGGAAGTTGATGTTACAGTCAAAGAGCTTAACCAGCTTGATTTTGGTTCTGCTCTAAGCTGAGCTATGACAGAAGGTGCCTGGCTCAGTTATTCAAATGCAGAAGAAATTTAGGCAGTTCAGTTCTGAAAATCACATGCTAATGCCTGGCTGATCTCTAATCCAACTCACACATCCAGACCCAGAGTCAAGTACAAAACAGCACTTCACTCCAGTGAGTATTCAACATGAAATAAAGCACTTCAGAATCTGAAATATTGTTGTTAGTTGCCTGAGTTTAATTATCTAGATATAATTACAGGATTTAATAGCACTAGGTAGGCAATTATGGGTAGGTTTCCAGTTTAATAGCATCTGTTATATTTTTCTGAGCTTGTATTTCTAAAAGCTGACAGAACCAGTATCATATTCATGAAACCTCTAAAAAGATTTAAGTACTTCACAAATTTTTATACTATTTTACAAGTCAAGCTCAAATTATCTTAGCATCTTATCAGACACAGAAGCTGTGAGGAAGAACCATTTACTTAAAAGGCTTTCCATTAGTCACTTCCAAGATTTTTCAAACAAAATAATTACTGGAACATGCTTCCCAGAACTCCATACTTTTTGGTCATTGCATTCTCACTGAATGTTTTACCTGTTAAAGATGTACTTTATCTCAGCCTCTGGAAAGGAATCCCCAGCAGCTGAAAGAGCAAGTTGAAAAAGAGAGAGCATGGATGTAGGAGGTGAGAAATGGAGATGGAAAGGGAAATGTAGTTCAAACACAGGACAATCTTACTTATAAACATTATTTTTTACTGAACAGAAGCTTGTGATCTAATGCCAGCATCAGCTGATTTTTCCCTAAACACTAAAACTGTAAATGATGACAGCTGTTGCTATATTGGGAACAACCATTCAACATATTTCAGAGAGTCTGTATTAGCACACCAGACCAAGACCCAACCTCAAAGTATAATTTTGGAAGCATTTTAAAAAAAGACAAAAGCTGGCAGTCAGCTGATAGCAAGTGAGGAACGACCCACTTCCAAATTTGTATTCAGCAGAAAATAGAAGGCACAAACTGCAGAGCTAGAGGAGTTCTTAAGATAAGTGACGTGAAGTGTGTGCTATGCAAATACACCAGGGTAGTGTGGCCAGGCAGCCCCAGGTGCTGGATTAAGGCTCCAGTCTTTTCTGGGACATGGGTTCAACTTCCATCACAGCCAGGAATATTTTAATTGGATTGGATTATATGATCTTAAAGGTCTTTTCCCAGCCTAAATGATTCTATGATGCCAAGTCTTAACTTCAACCAGAATACTTGTCATGAACTTTTTGATAATACTGCATGGAATAACCTAAAGAAACAGAACTATCAGAAACTGGCAACTTTGAATCAGCATTCTGATAGCTAGAGCATGGTGAGTCCCTTGAGGCCTAGGAAAGCTCAGTTATGTTTCAAAGCACTTCATGTAGTTTATATTTTGCATAGCTTTAGCTGTGAACAAGCATTTCTGTTTCTAAAAATTTTAGTCTATTCCCAGTCCTCTATTATCTTCACTTAAAACTACCCCACCACATAACATTCTAAAACCACAATGAACCAGTGTGACTAGCAGACAAGTTATCAAAGAAGCACTTTTTATGCAGCTAACTGCAGGCCATATGCATAAGGAATTCATAAAGTAAGCAGTGCAACTTGAGTATCAGATGACTGCATGTACATAAGCCCAGTATCAGTATTTGTCTGACTACCTCCTTGTTACCAAGGGTCTCTGCAGGCACCCACTTCTCAGGGAAGAAAGGAAAGCAGCTGCAGTGTCTCTCCCTGCTTTGCTCACACATACATTGTGGGATATCACACACATGTGATAATCAGGTGACCTCTTCTGGTTGCCAGTCCTCACAATTAATTATCAATATGTAGGAAACTGGGAGAAGAACTAAGTATTCTCTTCCAAAATACATACTGTTCTATATTCTTGCAAGTTTTAAATGAGCTTCAATTAAGTTATGCTCTGAGAGGTCTGAAACTCAAACACAAGATCATCTTGTGCACACTGACAGGTTTTAGTACAGCCTGTAGAAATTATAAAAAAGCATAGGAGCTTTCTATAAGAAAGACAAAGACAAGGGAGGTGAAGGCTGTAGAGAGAAAGCACTGTATTCACACCATGGTTAGCTAACCCGTTACACACCACTTTGTAAAAATACAGCAGGCCAAACAGACCCAGTGAGGAGAACCCTGAGAACATCATTATGTAATAGTTTTATATCTGGATCTGTTTCTCTAGAATCATATTTGCATTTTAAGTACAGCCTTTGTCCCTCTACTTACCACCCTCCCAACCCAAATGATACAGAGGGGAAAAAAAATTGAGAAAAATAAAAGTGATCAAAAAATCTCCCCCCTAGGAACAACTGAGCAGGATAAGAACTCATCATTCTAGACAAAGATAAAGGTGTCTGGAAAGAGAGGTATGAAAAGGATGATTAGGGATCACATGAGTCTTGCATCTTTCAGTGCAAGGAAAAAAAACCTTCAAGTGAGTAACATTCAGAACTGCCTCATGTGACATTATTACATTGTGGAACTCAGCCAGAGCAGACTGTGACTGCCAAAAGCCTACAGACATTTAAGAGCAGACAAGAGATGCTCACAGAATAGGCCTCTAAGTCGTGAAATATGCAGGGACAAACTACTGCATGAATGCCCGGCCATTATAATTTCCCCCAGCATGGACCTGTTATAGCAAGCCCACAGAAGGGCCACAAAGATCATCAGAGGGCTGGAGCACCTCTCCTACAAAGACATGCTGAGAAAGTTATTATTTGAAAGTTACATGACGGTGTCATCTGGCGATCAGTTATGTTTATACAAACCCTTTAATTTACTAGGTACAAATACACCAGTACCATAGACTCTTTGCCTGGCAACAACCAGAGATAGCCAACTGGAAGTTGGAGTACCCAACTTCCAAGAATATTATCCCTTTCATGTCAGCTGCTGTTAAAAGTCAAATTTTTGCACAACTTTGCCCAATGCTTCATTATTCTGTTATTAATAGTTGTTTACACAAATGGTGTTTCCTTTTTTAGAGCTCATGATATAAAAAACAATGCTTCCTACTAAAAGAAGCTGTAGGATTTTTCTTGTTTCACTCTCCGATAAACACATTTTCTTCCACATAAATGATGTTGGAGAAAGATATCTCTAAGGTTCATGATATCAGAGTACTCACTACTATGCAAACTCATTATAAATGTCAAGACTGAGATACAGGAATTCTTTAGCTGCACTCAGAAACCATCAATCTAAATATGCAATCTCAGGAGACTACAATTATCCAGTTAGGGTAGGCAAACATTTTTACAATGCCATATTAGTAAATATTCATTTGGGACTATATATCTAATCAGTAGAAATGACAGAACATTATGTGATCATCTGTGAATATTACCTAGGAAATAAATACTCTTTATCAGCAAAATATTTCTAAGGACTTTTAGCATACAAATACTTTTTCAGAGAAAATTGCAGTGGTCTTCCCTGGAAAGAAGAAATTTCACACAGGAAGAAGTTTGAATGGTTTGTGATCATGGACTAACTCCTGTTGAGAACATTTTGCTACTGTCAGCTCATCAGGGAGAAGGAGGAATCAGCCACATCGTGTATCTCCCCCCACCAGGTAATAGACAAAACCCAACCTAAACAAAGAAGGGAAGCCTTTTTCTTAAATATAATGTATAATTAAAGACTTTCTAGCACAGGATTTCATAGAGGGCTAAAAACCAGCAAGTGTAGATCAATAAGGAACTTGATATTAAGAGAGAGTCACGTGACTGCAAATGCATTTCAGAGAATGAGCAAGAACCGTGACTGGTGCAGGATTAGGAATCATCTCTCAAGTTACAACACACACACACCATTCATTAATGTGAATAAGCACTCACAGGCCAGTTTTAAAAAGCACAAAAGAAGAGATTTGATCATCCTTTCCAATAACATTTAGGTATGTGTTGCAATTTCAAAATATTATTGCCTGTCAGTAAGAGGAAAAAAGTCACAGCAATACCAAATCCATACCTGCTGTGTAGGAAAACAAGACCATGAATACCTCACAAATTTGATTTCCTATTAACTTTATCTGGAAATGCAGAACCTACTGATCACATTATTCAGTTATGCTTGTATTCATAACTATTTGCAGATTTTCATGATATCCCAGGATTTGTGCTTGAACTATGGACTTACAAATGCTGAAGGCAGGAAAAGAACTCCAAGTTCGTAGGAACGGATCATCAGCTGGCTGCCATTTTTCTCCAGAGCTCCCCAGGCTGCTTTAGATAGATTGGCACTGTGAAGAGAAACAAAGCATTTTAGTGAGGCACAATCTTCAATGCAGAAAACGTTTCAAGAACAATGTCCTTCTAGCAGGAGATGTCCTGAACAATGTCCTCCTAGCAATGTCCCTCTAGCAGGAGAACTTAAATTCAATCAGAATAGTCTTCTCACAAAAAGTAACTTGGTTGTTATTCCTTGTTGTTATTTTTACAGCACAGTGAGAGCAACAGAAACAATATGTAGAAAGGCATTCATACAACACATGTGGATAATTATACAAGCCTATTTCTGTCATACAGATCTACAAGACAAATTCAGCCTTTTGAATCTTCTCTGCACATTTCAGAAAGGAATTTGGTACTGGTAAATAGCTTCAATTTGATGACTTAAGAAGATTAAAGGCTAGCTCAGTCAGGACTAGTTACAATACCTTCAGTACGGAGTGGGTTTGCATTTTGCATTTTATTATAGAGTGTTAAACAGTATCTTTTGCTCTTGGCATTTTGTTCTTGGATCTATTTATGATAACAAATACTTAAGAAGTTTTTATGATAAAAAATACAAAGAGGTTTTGTTTCCATTTGCTATTCAGCACCATGCTGTATTTAATCTTCCATCAGTATCTACTACAAAGTTGATCAATTTGGGAGTCAAAAATATATGCAGTTCTGTTATCAAAACCTACTTCCACAGCCCAGTATGAAATTTACAACTTATGCTTCAACTGATGGACATACTGGATGCTGTTTGGCAACAGCAAATGGTGGAAGAGAAGAAACATAAGAAAAAGCAACAATGAATTTCTGTATTAGGTGGAGTGAGCATCTCATTTAAATGACTTAAAACCTTTTAAAAAGCACACTAATAATTACCCCTATTGCAAGCAACAGTATCAATGAGTGATGAAATTTAAAGAGACCAAATATGAAGCAAACAAAGAATTAAAATAACTGATCATTTAAAAGTAAGGACAGATCATAGTCTGTAAAATATAGGGCTGCATAAAAATCAGTTTTGGCAAAACTGAAACATATCTGTATTTTTCATTTACAACAAGACATTCTCCCTTCAAGTCAAGAAATTCTTGCTTCCTCTTATGGCTTTTTTAACAACTAAACAACAGAAATATAAAGCTTGTACTTCCAGGCAGACTGCTAAGCAACTCAATCTGACAAAAGAGCAGATTCCAAATTCTATGTTTTATTACAGTAGGGCAGCCCAAGTACAACTTCAGCTAACCCAAACTCTGTTTTGTAGAAACCAGCACATTCATCCTATAGCACATCATATCTTAAAGAAACTTAACCCAAATTGAAAATATTTATCACTTTAGTTGGTATTGAACCCCAGAACTGGCAGTCACAACTCAGACAAGATTTTAGTGTGATAATGAACTGTTTCTGATGTAATAATTTCAATCTGCAGCCTCAAACGGGACAATGCAATGGAGAAACATTAAATATGGACAAAAATTCGTATTGCTAATTGAAGTATTATGTGGGTTATGGAAGTAACTCACCTGGGCCTGCAGCTGACAAAAAAACCCCCATATATAAAGTTCTTAAGTAGAGCTGTACTGGCTAGATGTTTACCTTGTTACCAAGAACCAAGCAATCTTCTGGAAGTCAGGAGAGAGTCTCATGTAAGTCTTAATGTGAGGCATGGCATGAGTTCGACCCGTGACTTCTGCTGACCATTTGCTAGAAAAGCAAAAGGAATTCTTTTCATACATGGTTTTATTTTGAGGTCTAAAAAATACCATACAACAGCACCATGATTTCATGAACACTACTTATACTTGTCACACTCAATACTTACTTCTCCTAGAGAAAATCTTAAAATACCACATTTAACTGAACTGTTAACAATTCTACTAGAAGTCAGAAGGGCAAGGTTTTTTTCTCTTACAACCAGCCCAGAGAGATATTCTCCTCAGTGTGTCAGGTTCTCCTAACAAGTTTTTTCCATCTCTCTGTTCCAGAGAGCACTCAAGGAACTAAGTCTAAATTTCTGGACAATACATGTTCTTTGAAGACTATCAATGGTTAGGACTTCAAGCAACTGAGTTTGGCACCAAACTAAACCCCACAGAATCCTGAGTTTATAACAATTTATTATCCATGACATAAAGGCAGGGAGCAACTGGTAGATTGTTGCCGCTACTCTTCCTCTTCCCCCTTCTGTGCCTCTAAGCCACTGAGAAATTTGAGGGTTTAAGAGAACAGAGGTCATATCTATGTGCATATAAAAAAAAATAGATTCAAATAACAAGTCAATCCTGGATTGATTCAGCATCAATGTTACAGAACTAAAGTGTAAGCAAGCAGTAAATGTATGTACATAACTGAAAGTATGTAGTCACAGCATTAAGAAGCACTTTGTGTTCACAGCTGTTAGTCCTCACCCAAATTCAGGAAGAAAGCTTCTTAACACACCTTTCTTCACCCAGAGACATTTCTTTCTCCAGATTTGAAAGAAGATTCTGGTTTCAGTTGTAACAACCCTGCTTCCCTAACTTAGCATTCTATTCTAGTAGCAAATCCAAATAATCAATTAACTCTGAAAAACTTAAGTGCACTGTGTTCCTCTAAAAGCCTGAGCAGACTGACTTGGAAGGGCTGCAATTATTTACCTAGGCTGACTTTCAGGACTAACACTTACATACAGTGCACTTAAAATTAAGAGGCTTTGTATTTCATGGGTGAAAACCTAGTTACTTTAACAGCCCTATCTCCCCTGATCAAGGAAAAAAGACCTCTGGGAACTGGACCTGTATTCTTAAAGGGTAAGAGCTGAAACACTCTGCACATTTGATGCAAACTAGATTTTATGTCTTGATGCAAGCCACAAAGTCTCTTTCTATAGGACAGATGAAGATATATATGATACAGAATTAGCTGACTAAACTTGTCTTCCCCTACAAACTCCACACCTTCCATACATACAAATTGTAAGGCTGAATCAAGACTTAACCACCCTGGTTAATATTAACAGCTTTTCTCTCACAACTGACAGTTCAGACAAGCATCTTTAAGTTTATGGAACAAAAATACTTAGGTAATTCCAATAAAATTGTAAAAATGAAAAACAGGAAAAATAAGTAGAACTGGGAATTTAAAATTTATTTTCTTTAGATTTACCTCACTGCTTTGCCCTGGGACAAACTCCTCCCCTCACCACTAACTGCAGATATTCTGAGATACTATCTCAGTCTACTCCCTTTCTGCCTCCTTATCTTAAGACAGATACAAATAGTGTGCCTTAGCAAGAGTAATACCACTTCTATCTATTACCTACAGTACTCTAACTGCAGTTTGATTTCATCTAAAGTGATTGAAATTCTTATTTTAGAAAGTTAAAATCAGAAAGGGGGAAAAAATATATTTTGGCCATGTTTTCCCTAGTAGGACAGCACAAGCATGTAAGGATTAAAAGGGGAAAATTAATGCTAGTTTTGGCTGGGATAGAGTTAATTTTCTTCATGCTGGCTAATATGGGGCTATGTTTGGATTTGTGCTAGAAACAGCACAAACACCCAGATATTTCAGCTGTCACTTACACACAGCCTTTTCTGCCTCTCACACCACCCCAGTAAATAGGCTGGGAGGGGACACAGGCAGGACAGCTGAGCAAAGGGATATTCCAGACCATGCACCATTATGCTCAGCACATGAAGCTGAGGGAAGAAATGGTGATAGGGGGGTCATTCAGAGTGATGGCCTTTATCTGCCCAAGCTACCATCTGGCACAATAGAGCATTACTTTCCTGAGGATGACTGAATACCTGCCTGCCCAGGGTGGGGTAAACCAACTAATTTTCATTTGCTTTTATGAGTAGCTTTTGATTAATTAATAAACTGTCTTTATCTCAACCCACAAGTTTTCCCATCTTACTCTTAGGATTCTCTCCCCTATCCCACTAGACGGGGAAGGAAGAAGGGTGGGGGAGCCCAAGTGGCTTTGTGGTGCTCAGCTGCAGGCCAGGACTAAGCCATCACAAAATCCTGGAAACTGAACTGCACAGACATAACCAATTCATAAACAGAGACAGGGATAACTAATTTTCTACTACATCACTTCTTTCAGCATTTAGTTCTCTTACTTCAAATACTGAAAGAATTTTCTATCTTAAGATACTGGCAACAAGGCTTGAGAGAAACTAAAACACCTCATATCATTAGTTTCAACCTAAGAGAACACTTATGATCTCTGTCTCTCATCTTTTATGATTTTAGGGGAACAACACTGTACTTCTGCAAACTGAGAAGAAAACTCAAAACTTATTCAAAATTTTATAAATCTAAAGAACATGCAAAGCTCTAATACAACAATCATTGTGGACTTGTCAAGCATATGTCAAACAAATTCTTTTCCAACCAAGAATTCCACTCTTTGAAAATCAATATTTGACAAAGTAACTGCACAAACATAAGGCACACCATATTAAAAGCAAATAAACTAAAAGGAATGTTAAAATACAATACTATTAAAGCTGATCAAATGTTTTGAAAGCAGCAATTAACAAAAATTATTAATAATTGCAAATCTGTCCTCATAAATTAGTAATACTGGAAGGGAAAACAAGCAATAATGCCAGAGAGAAAACTCTGCAAATTACTCTGTTTACACAGTAGCTAATCTAACAAAGCAGTCTAGTCATCATTTGCTACAATCAGAAAAGTAAAAGCAATATTAAGTTTAGTCACACTATTTAAAAAAAAATTAAAGTTCTGAGCTGTATTATAGGTTAAACATACTCAACTGGCAGGAGAGAGAAAATCAGCCCACAGACATTATAAAAAGTCTGGGGCAGACATCCTGCCTCTTCAGTTGAGAGGCTGCAGGACACCATCTTCCAAATCCATTAATCTCTCCCTACTTGCAAAAAGGAGTTATTAATTTTCCTTTACTGTAAGCATAAAAGATTTGGGGTTTTTTCCTTGCAGCTTTGGTAGAATCCCTAATTTCCTGCTGGTTTCATACTATTTTCCAGTTTGAAGAAGTATTTGCTAAATTCCTCTAATCCCTCCACTGCCCAAAGATTTGCATTATAGCAAGTCTTTCAAACAGCTCATCTTGTATTTACATCTAGTGAAACCTGCTGTTTTCTGATTGTCCCAGGTTCCACAGATACAAAGGTGCAGTCTGCCTCCTGCCCTATGGTAAGAGTTTACCTGCAGGCTCTGCTCAAGGCTCCTGTGCTGCACTATGGCAGGGTAAGGGCTGCACCTGGGCAGTCACCACAGAGCAATTCTGCAGGGCCACTGCCATCTGCAGCCAGTTCCACAGCTGAACCTCAAACAGCCCTTTTGCTGCCAGAGCAGGTCCCTGTATGTCCAAGGAGACAGCTATGTGGGCATTTTCTCATTGAAAAGGAATAAATCAATGAATTATATCATTATTAAGTAACATTCCGTGTATTAAATAAGAGACTAACTGAAAAAAGGTTACATCTGTTTTCTAGTAAGATTCTCATGAGGTACGACTACAGAAACCAAATTAAGACTGCACAAACACCCCCAGATTGATGAGTATTTTGCTTTTTGAATCATGACTGAACAAACTCAAAAGCTTCAAGTTGATTGCAGCTTTCTTCCTTTGCTGACTGTATTCAGAGGACACAGTTTAAAGGCAGGAGACAGAACCTCACATGGCTTCTGCCTGAGTTCCATTCCTTAGACATTGACCAGCAAGGTTCACAACAGCAATCACCTTCACTCCAGAATGGAGGATGCTCTCTGCCACAAGCAATTCTACTTCAGTCCCCTGAACATACACCCAACTGAACACAATCCTACTTGGTAAATTTTCTTACCAGAGCCACTTCCGTCCAGAAGAGTTAACAGTTTCTGATGAAAGGAATGGGAAGTTGTGGTCTTGTAAGAGGTTACAAGTTCTATTAATTTTATTTTTGGTCTTTGCAAAACAACTTTCCCCATTGTTCTCTAAACATGAGTAAGTTTTTAACAATTCAGCCTGAGGGAGACATCTGGCATGGAATGTGTCAGACTGTTAGAATTTGGCACAACTAGTAGCATATGGAAATAGAAATTTGTAATAGAAAATGTCAGGCATCTTTAACAAAAGATTTTACCACAAGGGACTGAGAATTTTTGCAGCAGGACTGCTGTACTTACAAGAAAAAAATAAAGCAACCACCAAAAAAAGCCTTTCTAGTCCTGTTGTGGCTTAGCTGAAATCCCATTAATACAGAGGCACAAGTGGGGAAAGTGAAATACAGCTGGAAGTTTAGGAAAAAAAAAAGGAGTAACATTATTCCTGTCTGGAGGAGGAAACATTATATAAAAGTTTACAGAAACCTAAATCCAGCAGCAACATTATCCCATATAATTTTTCTAGGTAAACAGCATGAACAGCATGTTTTCTACCAACTTTTGGAGAGAAGACCCAGCAGATAAGCAACTAAAGACCTTTATTTTAAGGAGTTTAGGAATATCACTTGTAACCACTTCCACTTATTTGCTTTTAACACTCAAACATTATAGCACTGTAACTTTAAACATACAATCTGAATTAAAAAAAAAAAAAAAACCAACAAAGAATTGAGTTCTACTTACTGAAAATAGGAATGCAACCACAGCTGTTTCTGTGCTGTCTGTATACTGTATGGAAGTGAGCCCCCAGCTTAAGGAAAAAAAGCAGACCATGTACATTTATTTTTTGGAAGACATTCTAAAAGCAGCAAGCATCTTGGGGAATAAGCTATCTGTCCTACCTTCATGAGTTACTTTCAGGAAATTGTTAAGCACTCCAGTAGTATAAAATGGTATATGCTTGCTGGAGTTCTTTCCATTCTTATAATTTAGCAAGTTCCTAAACACTACACAGCATATTTACACTAGGAAAATCAGAAACTGTATATAGGGAGAACTATGGGTATTTTTTTCATATGATACTACTTGATATCAACAGATTAGAATCACTACCCAGACAAAATAGAGGAAATAAATCAAGCAACTTTCAGAAGAAAGAATAAACCTTCCAAATCCCCATCAATGTTATTTTAAAAAGAACTTCTATGATAAAATTATATTTGTATTGATTTGTCCTTTGGCTAATGCATGTTGTGATTTCTTGAAATGGATTTAAGAAGAATCAGCCAGGCATACAGAATTATACTAGTGTTGTGTAGTAAAAGCATGATGCAAAGCCTACTGTATCCAACATGTCCTAGAAGACACCAAATGAACTCATTACAAAAGCTTTACTACTCTCAGGAATGCACTAACTGCAGGAGTCTAAAGAACTGTTCATTTGCACAAACACAGAATCATGTAATTCACCAAGTGTTGTGGGTCTCACCCTCTAGAATTATTTACTCATTTGCTGCTGTGAGAAAATAACTAGGAAGACAGCAAAGTAGGTCAAACTTTAAAGGGTATAAAGAAAACCTTATAAACAGAATTAAAAGAAAAATAATAAGAAATCAGAATAAACCTTCAGAACACTCCTCTTTCCCCACACTCTATGCCTATAAATTCTCTGGCTGCAATTTCTATGTATGTCCAAACACTAACCAGAGGAAAGACAAAAACTGCTGAGAACATTCATGCTAGCTCCATGTTCAAAACCTACCAGCTGCTAAAATTCAAAAGCTAGTCATGCATAGGAGCACAGCTATCCTATATAGCTTGGAACAGGAACAGTACTCGTTCCCGTTTCAGGTTGGCTGGGGCCATGCTTTTACAAATATGACTTAATGAAAATAAACATGGCAATAATGAACAAAACAGTTGTATATACAATATTAAAAAAGAAAGACCAATGACACTTTAGCCTCCATTGTATCTGATGTGCAGAATAACGCTGCAATCCAAATAGAAGAATCTGACACACTCAAACCTGAATTTTCTGCCAAAATGAAATTATGACTGGAGTAAGAGTAGTGGGCAGGAGCTGTTGATTTCCTATACAGTGACATATGAACATGGCTAGGACAGACAAACGTTACAAACCAATGCCCACAAAACCTTATCTATTCCATCACAACAGAAGTCACAGCTCCAGCAAAAGCAGAAAGATTCTACTGCCACCTATTCTATCACATTATCAGCAAGATGAGAACTTCATGTTCATTTAACATCAACCACTGAAGTGATTTTGCAGGACATTATGACCACAAAAAGCAAATAAATGGGGATTCATCTGCTTACCAGGATAGCCTTCTAGACTTTGCCTCACATTGTTCACAGTAGGATAAACCTTCATGGAGATAGAACAAAAAGTAACTTTAACACAGCTCTGAATAGACAAGCTGTTAATTTTCAAAAACACTTTAAAGAAAACCTGAGAAAAAAAATATTAAAAGCTTCATTTCTTTGAAGTAATAAATTTACACTGCAGCTTACAACTACAATTGTGCCAGTAACACAGAAAATCCAATATTTTTACCACTCTAACCAAAATTAGCTAGGAAGTCTCAAGTAATACTGCTTCAGCCACTTCCACAGCAGCCAAAGTTAGTTCTTAACATTATTTTATATTTTAGTCTCACACCTCAAATACAAGATATGAGTATGCATGGGATTAGCACATGGTAAAGCTTGACCCTCATTTTTCCTTGATTTAACAAACTCCTGCTACAAACTTTTCTACTTCTCCCCTTAATTCTGCTAATAACCAAAGGTATTAATGACTAAAGATTCAGCTACATCTCAGCAGCAAAAACAGCTACATCTACAAAACCCAATGGAAGACGAGCTGTAGAATGAGAAGATAACTTTAATGAGATGACATAAATCTAGTGTCATGCAGATGGAAACTGTGGTACATTTTTATAGCAAACCACATACAACTAAATGGCTTTAAGTGGCATATATATAATTTCATTCATCAAAACTCCATTACTGTCTTCCAAAAGTTAAAAGCAAAACAATGACTAAGATTTCCAAAACAAATGATTAAGTGTTAAATAAAGGTCACCAGCATCTCAAAGACATACCAGATGAATTGGGACATCACATTTACGGAAAGCTGTCACACTGCTGCCTGCAGCCACCAGGCTGTCCTGGAACTCTGAGCACAGCCACTTGGACCCATCAGCTCCCATGGAACCAATGCTTGAGAACTGTCCAACAACAGGCCAGGACTCTGGGATTGGCACAGCATGCTCCTTCAGAAGCTGGGGAGGGGAATTAAAACAGTGTTAGACCTCAACACACACAGAATACCTTCATCAGCTTCATATCACTTTTCATATAATAAATCCTCTGTAATTTACTTCTGATAATGAAGGAGATTAACATTCATACTACGCATTTAAATTTGCAATAAAAAGAAATCATCAGGCTTTCCAAATAAACTCACTTCAAGAGAAGATTAAACATCACAAGTTTTATCCAAAAGCACCAAAGCCACCCATTAAATAATGGGTGAAAAGAATGTTAGCAACTCTTTCTAAAAACATGAAACATTAACTTCAGAAGTTCCAACAAATAAAACTAAATATATTTCATATTTGGTGGTTGTTGGCCATAAAATTCCTCTTGTATCCTAAAGCCATGACACTCAGCTACAATAGAAGTCTACAATAAGAGGGGAAAAAAGAACAATTGAAGAAAAAACTGAAATGATCCTTTTAGAGTTCTTCAGCTGTGAATGGAATTTAAAGTCACATTAAAAACAGATTTATATAGACAGATATTAAATTGTATGTAGTTGCCACCTTTACCCCACTCTAGAGAAAACACACAATCTAATGGCTTCAGTCATCAATGTTAGTATCATCAGGTCTACCTGCATTGTCACTAAAAACCTTTTTAAATCACAGAAACATCTGCCACAAAATCATCTTTTTCCCTTACAAGCTTTTTCTGTTTTCTTTTTCTTCATTCTATGTCTAAATAGGCAAAAAGCATCAGACAAAGTCTAGTAGAAAGGACAAGCTCCTAATGAGCAAAGGGATGTCCACAAGAGTAACCTCACATTGAAAAGCAATGTGATACATAAATATTCTGTATGTCACAGAAGTTTGCCACAGACAGCATTAGATTTTCATATAAAATTCAGGACAGTATTTGAAATAATGCCATTTCAGCAGGAGGTGCAGGTTAAAAATTCTTCAATTATCAGAAGCATTTAATAGATTACATGAAATACCTCATCAAATTCTGAAAAACAAACCCCCCTCCCCCCAAAAAAAAAAACCAAAAAAGGGGCCAAGCCAAACAAGAAGGGTCCCTGCAAACTTGATATATGCAATCTTGAAGATTTACCATTACAGCTCACCTAAATAAACATAAGAACTCTAAAGGCAAGAGAGTTCAACTATTAACATAATACTGTCACATTCGCCCCTAACCATATCCCTAAATCCCACATCTGCACATCTGTTAAATATCTTCAAGGATGCTGACCCCAACACTTCCCTGGGCAGCCTGTTCCAATACTGGACAGACTTTGACGGAATTTTTCTCAATATCCGAACTTTATCTCCCCTGGCACAACCTGAGGCTATTTCCTGTTGTCCTATCACTCATTACTGGGGAGAAGAAACCAACCTCCCTCAGCTACAACCCCCTTTCAAGTAGCTCTAAAGAGCAATAAGGTCCTCCTGAGCCCTTTTTCTCCAGGCTGAACACCTCCAACTCCCTGAGCTGCTTCTCCAGCACCATGGTCCAGACCCTTCACCAGCTCTGCTGCCCTTCTCTGGACACACTCCAGCACCTCCATGTTCTTGTGAGAAGAGGCCCAAAACACAGCACTCGAGGTGTGGCCTCACCAGTGCTCAGTACAGGGGAAAATCACTGTCCCGCTGGCCACACTACTGCTGACACTGGCCAGGATGCCACTGGCCTTCTTGGCCACACACACTGGTTCATGACCACCTGTTGTCAACCAGCACTCCCAGGTCCTTTTCCACCAGACATCTTTCCAGACACTCTGCCTCAGCCTGTTGCACTGCATGGGGCTGCTGTGACTCAAATACAGAACCTGGCACATGGTCTTGTTGAATCTCACACAGTTGGCCTCCATTCATTAATCCAGCCTGTCCAGATCCCTCTGGAGAACCTTCCTAGCCTCCAGCAGATAAACATGCCCCTTCATCTTGGTGGGCTCAATAAGGAGCCCTGGAGAACACCACTTGTGACTGTCTGCCAGCTGAAGGTAACTCCATTCACCACGCTGAGATCTGCCATCTAGCCAATTTTCTACCCAGCAATGAGTGCACCCATCCAGACCAGGAGCAGCCAGCTTCTCAGGAGAATTCTGTATGAAGGCTTCACTGACATTCAGGTAGAAAACATCCACAGCCTTTCCCTGACCCACCAGGCTGCCACAGGAGATCAGGTTAGCCAAGCCAAGCAGGACCTGCCTTCATACTCATGCTGATGGGCCTAATGACCTGGGTATCCAGGCACTAACTGGGATCTCCCCAGTTAGCCAGAACAGCTGATAAATGATTGAAAGTGGCTCAATGAGCACTTCTGCCAGCTCCCTCAGTGGATCCCATTAGGTCCCATGGACTTGTGTCCATTTCAGTGTTGCAGCAGGCCACTGACCAGTTCCCCTTGGGTTATGGAGGTTTCATTCCACTCTCTGTTCCTGTCTTCCAGCTTGGGGAGCTGGACACATGGAGAACAGGTCCTGCTGTTAAAGACAGAGGCAAAGAAGGCATCAAGCACTTCAGCCTTTGCCCCATCCTTTGTCACTATGTCTCTCCCTGCATCCAATAAATGATGGAGATTCTCATTAGTCTCTTTTTATTGCTAATGTACTCATAAAAGCATTTTTATTGTATTTTTCATCAGTAGACAGATTAAGTTAAATTCCAAGTTGCAAGCCTACATACATTACTGCTAACTTTAACTGTAACAGTGTATTAAAAGACTGATGACAGCTGGAAAAATTGGAAGGAACTGAAGAATTCTGTCCAAAATTCTATTCACATTTTAAAGAATATTAACAATAAAAGTTACAGTTTTGGTACCTTTCTGAGCCTAAGATGGCCCCACTTTTCTTTATCACTGCCTTGATATCGTCCAGGGGTAGAACCAAGCAGAAACACTCTAAAAAAAAAAAAAACCAACAGATTTTTGTAGATCTCAAGTGCTTTGGTTTTAAAGTAGCAAGATATTTAAGAAAAACTTACCAGCAAGATTGAACACACAAGTGCAACCAGAAATATTTAATGTCTCTCATGGGATTCATAATACAAAGAAAAGTGGATTTTCAGCTGTATAATTTATTATCAACCTCCTGTATGGCTGTCATACATCACCAGGCTGTTCTACAGCAGAGACAAGAGCTAGATCTTTTTCAGTGTGCAAAAATGCAGAAGATAGATAACGCTGGCAATACACACAAACAGCTCATTTGTCCCAAACTGGGCACGCAATTTTGAGTAAAGCCAATCTACTGCTACATCCAAATCAGCAGATTCAGGTATGAGATTTCATTTGGGCACCTAATAGTTCAGATGCAAAGTACAGCTTTTTCAACACTTCCTAATAATGGGTTTAGTAACCAATTTGACTTTACCCTAAAAACAGGGAAGAGACCTGCCTGAAGTCACAAGAAGCAGCTTTAAGCTGCTGTTCCCTACTGTATACATCTCATGCCTAATTTTCTTGATGACTGAATGCCCCCTACAGCACATCAAATGGCAATCCTTATTCTAACAAGTGACTTTCCTACCACATGCATATCACTAGCTAGTTGAGCTAGGGCTCAACTCATCTGTTTAAACTCATGCTGATGATCAATGCAATCAGAGCAGCTGTTAGCTCACCTGATTATAAAGTACACACTTTTTTTTTGCCCCCTCCAATCTTTTAAGACTCCAAGTAAAGATAAAAGCACTTCTTAATGTATAAACTAGACAAGGTTTCAGTCTTCACTACCACTGCTGTATGCAACCATTTTCAGCTTTTCTTTTCAACAATTTTTGTTCAAATTATAAAACAGTAATTGAGTTGCCAGGGAGCTTTACACCTTCTGAAGTAAATGCTCATATTTAAGTGCAACTACTTATTAGAAGTAAATGAAGCATCCTGAATTATTTTAAAGTAATATCAGCAATGTGATATTAGAGAAGACTATTCCAAGACCAGGCACAACACTGCCCACCAAAACCAATCCAAAATTCTACAGATATGTATGTTGATTAAACTCTGCCTTACCAACAGAAGCCTGTGCTGAATAAAATCCTCATTCCAGTAATCTTTGCTTACATGATCTCTCTTACACGATAAACCCCATAAAACAGGTTTTTTTCCTACTGGTAATATTACTGGAGTAAATAGTAATTAATTACTTGAGCTAGACTGGCTCAAATGAAACCAAGTCCTTATTACTTCATAGCTACCTTTTGAAAAGTTGCTGCTGGTACACCTTTCTTCTTTTAAAATGCATGCTTATAAAACTAGAAGTTGGTCTATTATTTGACATAAGCTACATTAGAGAATTTTTTTTAAACCACATAGAGTCATGTTTGAACACTCAAGCCTGAAACAAGATTACCTCACAAAATAAACACGAGGTCTAACAGATCCTAACACAGATATTAAATTTCTAGAAAAAAAAGAAAAAAACCCACAGTGCAAGTTACCTTAAGATTATATATACCTTGTTTCTGATAAATCATGTTCTTGAATGAGATCTATCCATTCCTTGAGTGCAGGAGAATTGTAAGCTGCCAAGTAACTTATTAGGTCAGATTTAAAATTAGTTGCAGATTCACCACCAGATGCTCCCTCAGGTAGCCTTGGATATAAAGGGCTTAACCATATTCTTAAAAAAAAGAAAAAAATCAGGCATATAAACAAGCACACCATGCATTAATAACACGTGGGTTTAGTATGGGAATAAAACACATCTGAAGGTCCTAAACAAGTACTTGAAAGATTCATTGTGATACTAACTATAAATGTCTCTACTAACTGGTCAGGCTCAGACTTAGCAACTATCAGTTCTTTCATCAACATTTTCTACAGGAATAGAACACTGCAATATGTTCTGCTAAACTATTGGTTTGTGCAACTGCATAGAAAACCACCAGTTAAAGCATCTGAAAGGTTTATATATTTGAAGAGTAGCCCACAATAACACATTGTCTCTCAAGAACCTTCGTCAGACTAAAATAGGATAGAGACCACCAGGGAAAACATTTAGTATTTCTTTCCACTCACACATTACTGCAGCCATGGGAACCAAAGATTCTGCATTATCATCAACTTTACAATGTGTTGATACTACCCATTGAAATTCAGAACCACCATACTGTGATCCTGCATAGCACTGCAGTATGCAAAAGCTAAAAAAGAAAACTATTTCTCATATTTCACAAGTAGGGGAACTTGCTAAGTGTCCCAGTAGGTATTTTCATGCCTTCTCAGCTTTCTGAAAAGCTAACTGCCATAAGATACTAAAGTCACTCATAAGATTTAAAGGCAAAAAAAATCACTGTCTATTTCTGCCACTCAAAGAGCTTGTCTCAGACAAGTAAAGTCTCAAAACCCTGCCATATTTAATGACAGCAAAATGGATGTCAAACTGACAGTAACCTCTGAAAAACAACTTTCTATTAGTTTAAAGAAATTTTATACCCTGATTTATTGTGGTCATCTAACTAAAAAAATGCTCCCGTAAAATAGCCAAAAAACTGACGAGTTGGAGGACCCTTATATGAACATGCCACTTCATCCTGTTTTTGTGCTCTCAACAAAACTATGTCCTAGGCTGGTCATTAAGTTTAAAGACTTCTACCAAAAAATAAGACAGGAAAAAAATTCCTTCCCAGGAAAGGATACTGTGTGAAGATTAGGTCATCTACTGTATTACAGAACCAATAATGCCCAACATTTATCAGACTACATTCTAGATACAATCACAACAAAAGCAGAACACTTGCACATCCACATTATTCTTAAGTGTTAAGTATAAAGGCAAGTTTTAAATAGCTGTTTCAGGTCTTATATAAATGGTACTTTACAGCTACAAAGTTTTTTCATAAAGAGACAGCACAGCATGATAAAATTTTGTATCAGTCAGATTGATTTTAAGCCATCAGCCTACTAGGAACATAGTTTTGTTTACAGGAGAAAGCAAGAAAAGTTCAGACCCAGACAGCTACCAGCATTTTAAGTCCAATTTTTAAATTTTTTTAGAATAGCTCTATGTTAAGAATGTCAAGGCTTGCAACACTAGATCATCTAATATCCCATCTCCAGCAGGAGCAAACACCTATGGAAAGTATTAAACATTCACCTACTAGGGATTGTTGCTTACCCCTGAGTTTTCTGGTGCCAATCATCAGCAATAAGGTTGGATGTATGTATCACAACTCGAAGACCTTCTCCATACAGCAACAACATCATTTTCCTTTAAAAAAAAAAGATATGTAACTCTTCATTTATTTCAAGTATACTGAGAGTAGGAGATAAATTAGCAATTCATTAAAAGGCACCAAGGTAATTATTTTCAAAGACCTGTTCTGCATCATGCAAGCACTTATGACTTCAATCCATGTGCATTGCAAGCTCACATGGCAGTCATTAGACTATTCCCATATATTTTATCCCAGAGTACAGCTTAACATCTCATGCAACTAATTACCCACAACAAAGTGAATATTTGCAGAACACTTCCTATATTTGCACAGCTCTTTAGACACTTATCTCTTTGCAGATAATCAGAAAAAGAACTAAGGAACACTGAAAGGCCTTTACTTATAACTGAATTTATTAAAAAACATAGTTACTTCCTCTTTAACTGACTTTTACCTTAAAAGTGGGTATGTTTACAGCTAAACATTGTGATGGCAAAAAAGCTATTTATTTATCATAAATCTTAAGCTACAGCACAACAAAATTTTAAAACTAGTAACTGAGATAAACATACACATCTGTATCTTTTGTAAAAAAACTGCTCAGATTTTCATATCCAAGTTTTCATTAGCTGTGTAAAGGCAGCATGTGATCCCAAAGGATGAGATCTGAAACTCAAACTGAACTCAAATGATCTTTGCTAAAACATAAGATCTGTTCTTTTCTGTAGATTTCCATCTACAAAATTCGCTTTGAGACACTTCTATTATATCCAATTCAAGTTTTTTTCTTGAGAAGACCCCCAGATTTGCTAGTTATTTTCAGATCCTCCATATGAACTGAAAAACATGCTCAGTAAATGAGTGTTGTGTCAGTCCTGCCTATGACTGAACAAGTTTGCATTACAGTTTTGGTATTAAGGCATGAGTTAAGAGCCAGGACCTGCAGTCCACCTGTCTTAGACCAGTTCAACTTCAACTGTTTAACCTCCACATCTCATATGTACTCAAATAGCTAATTTGTCTCATTAAACTAGAACAATCCTGTCATCTCTAAATAGAAGATGCTTATGGAAGCTTTAAGACTCAACAATTTCTATGAAATCCAGTTTTACTGCAGACTTTTCTGCTTCATGGTGTTACTTACGTATGGTGAGTTCCAAATGCAATATCCAGTTTAGCCTACAAAATTAAAAGTTGATCATTAAAAATTGCTATTGTGCATTGCTTCTTATTTTGTTTAATTTCACTGCTCTCTAGTGGACAGATCACAAAATACATTATCTTCCTTCTCCATATTTCTAATGCACTTTCCACAAGCTAGATTTTAGATGGTAATGCTGGAACTGTTCCAGAATTTGTACCTCTTTTACTAGCAGCATTTTCAAAAATAGTCAGCAGAAAATAACTGAAGGTTCCTGCTGGACATGGAACAGAAGCCAGCAATGTGCCCCTGCATGAAAGATGACTGACAGGGTCCTGGCCTGCATTAGGAGTGCTGCCAGCAGGCCAAGGGAGGGGATGCTTCCCCACTGTTGAACACCAGTGAAGACACATCTGTAGTACTGGGTTCACATTCAACAAGAAACTCAGGATTACCAGACTGTTTCAAAGAGAACAAAATTCCAAGATCATTCCCCTACTAACAAAGTACACAGTGTCCCCCATGATCATTAATATACTTCACCTGGCAAAATCCTGAAACACTGGAAAATTGCCATAGCCACATCCTCCCCCAGGATGAAGCCAATGGCTTCACCACTTAGGGACAGCAAAACAAGGAACAGAACATCAGAGATAAAATGGTACCTGCCAGGAGGCATCCTCACAGCAATTTTAGCAGTATCACAGAGATTATATGTATCAGCATTTTCTTGTGTAAAACGTATTTGGGAAATAACTCTTTGATGAGATTTAAGATTATAGTGACACTAGGACTAAGTTCTCTGCTTTACACAAAAATAATGCTTCCTTTTCAGCCACTTTAAGAACTTGAATGCAACATGTTAGTGGAGAAGGTGACCAGCTCTTCTGTGAGCCCTGTGACATTTCTGTGGGCAGCTGTTCTGTACAAACTTTTGGGGTGAAGCCTACCATAATCACATGTGACCAAGATCACTGTTACCATGTTCCTATGATCCTGGTATCCTGGATATTCCTCAAAATGTAACAAAAACCTCCCCACACAAGGTGTCTCTTCATCAGTAACAAGACTCTGAGTGTAAGAGATGGCTTAACTTCAACCAAAGGACAATACAAATGTTAATTACCTGACAAAAGCTAATATTCTCATAAGGCCGTGCTTGTGCAATTAGCTCAGCTTTGGATTCTCTCCTCTCACCATGAACTATCAGCAATGGCTTCTTCCTTAAACAAAAGGAGATCACCATTAAAACATCAAGTGAATCAGCAATTAGCCTAAACCATTCCTTCATGTAGCTATGGTATCTGGCCCCTAAATCTGACAGTCCAGCAGAAAGATGGCACTGAAATCAGTATGCCTTATTAACTAATTTAAAATACAAGTAACTACAATAGAACCTCTAAAGAATAGACACTGGAAAACTGTAACAAAAAAAAAAAGGGAAACAGGAAGTGTGGAGTAAAGCAGGCACCAAAATAAAAACTTTTATACAAGATCATGAAAGAAACTCTCCCTAGAGCTCGAACAGACAAATGTAAGCTCTCAAAAGCACTGATATACACAATGTGGACCTAACACAATTTAGTAATTATTATCTACAGAGAAGGTGGAACACTGATAGGGAAAAGAAGAGGGTCTATTCTGGCACTAATTTGGTGTTCACTTCCTAAAAGCAAACTTCTGGTCCTGCCAATCAGATCTAATCCATAGGGAGGTGTGTGTCAGGTAAGTGACTGGACCACCAAGAAAACTCAGCCCACTGATTATTATGGGTTTTTCAAGAGAGTACCCACAAAGTCCCAACAAGACTGCAGACAAGTGAGAGGGACCTCGAGGCCTTGGGACAACCAGAGCACAAGTTGTGTTCTCTTCTCTCCTGCCAGCTACAGGGAATGATGGAACAGGGTGGAGATACTGCCCAGAGTACAAGCAGTTAAATGCATAACTACAAGACAGGACTAGGGGGCATCCCTTTGCATCCCCACTGGGATACTGACACACTCAGATACTTCCATAAAGCACCTGCACACCATAGTACAGGGAACAAACAGGCAGAACTGGAGAACTGTGTGCACTCACAGGGCTTTGATCCATTGCAATTACAGAGACATGGTGGGACAGCTCACACAACTGGAATATTGCCATGAAGGGCTACATGCTGTTTAGGAAAGACAGGAAGGTGCAGTAGTGGAGCTGTCCTCTACATGAGGCAACACTTGGAACACATCAATCAAGATGCCAGGGGTTAGGATAAAAAAGCAGATGAGTAAGAGTGACACTGTTGGTGTTTGCTGTTGCCATCTGATCAGCAGGGCTAAGAGGATGAGGCCTTCTACAGCAGCAGTACAAGCAGCCCCAGACCCAGGTCCTTGTGGGGGACTAACTACCCTGATGTGTGCTGGAGCAGCAACACAGCAAAACCAACAGTACAGGAAGCTCCTTGAAAGCACTGATGACAGCTTTCTGACACATGTAGTGGAGGATCCCACAAGGAATGGTGTGCTGCTCAACCCAATGTGGTCCCTTCCAACTTTATCCACTCTGTGATTCTGTGAACTCTGGTTCTACTGCACTTCCAGCAAAACAAAAAAAAAAAGGCATATTATAGGCTCACTTCATCTGCAGGAGTTTGCAATTATCAGAAAGGAACTTCAAGAAAACAAGAACTGCTTTCATGACAATACCCATCAACTTACTATATCATATCCATGCAATCATCCTGATCCTTTCCACACAGTTTTCTTGTGCCCTTCCTACATTCTCTCCTTTCTCTTGCACTATCTGGCTCTTGACTCAGTGAACTGTAGGGCAAAAAGCTTCTAGCTCCACCTTTACAGGTCATCTACTGCCATCTCACTGAGGCCCACAGTGGGACCTCCTCAGTGTGAACTAATAACAATCAGAAACCAGCTATCCTGAACTCTAACTATTTTCCAGTCTAGAAAACAGTCAAGAAATCAGAGAACTACAGCTGTGGAATGAGAGAAGAAAGAACACTAAGAGTCTGTGCATATCAAATTGGTAACAATCATCTGCAGTGCAAAGAAGTGCTTATCATTCACTTATAACAGAACCTTGTATGAACAGAAATGATCTGGAAATGTCATCATTTCACCTTTGTAAAATAAACATACCTGAATTCCTGAGGGTACTGTCTTACAAGCCATCCCACATCTATACAGTAGTTAAACTTGTATGTAAGAAAAAGAAAACAGACTCATTAAAAAGAAAAAACAGCTATATCAATGAACTACAGCAAAAAAGCTTTATATGTTAATCACACATAAGTATTTACCCCATATATAGCATATTCTAAAAACAGGTATATTTTTGACTTTTATATCCTTTCTTTCATTCCTCTTTAACAACTAAAGACTGAATTTAAGATACTCAAAAGTGTGCATTAGTGCTCATAAAATTTACCATCCAGGGAAAAAAAGAATCATATGCACATAATGTAAAAGCTTAGGTTCAAGGATCATCTCTTTGCCATGTGTTTATATTATGAATGATAGCAAAACTTCTAGGCAATAACAAAGACATTATTCCTAGATTGCAAGGCATTTTTTCTTTCAAAAAACCTCATTTATATTAACATAAATACATGCTTCTCAGTTGCACTTTCCTCAAAAACAGGAGAAAGTAGTTTTATAATTGCCTAAATTCTACAGCAGAACATAGGATGGTGTTTATATTTCAATAAATTGTTTAACAGTTGGAAACATTTAATGTCAGTACATGGCTCAGGCATGGATTATCAAGTTTCAGATTAATGTAGTGAAACAAGCAAGAGAAATCAGTTTGACAAACAGGAAACTCACCTGGGCAGAAGATATGAGAGTTCCAAAAAGAGGAGATAAAATATCTATTAAAAATATTAAAGCATGAATAAATAAAAAAGACTTCAAGTAAACATATAGCATCTTGAACAGCTTGATAACTACCACAGTACAAGGGCCAGATTGTTCATAGACCTGGTGTAACAGAGGCATTCACAAGTTTACTGTTCCAAGTATTTCAAGTCATTGACTCTCCTGTGATCATTTAGGATCATATGCTTAGAAAAATTAATAATCCTCTCAAAGCAAAAAAACAAGTTTTAAAAGCTGATTAGGAAAAAGTCCAACATCATATTGAGAAAGGGATATTAAATTGCTCTCACCCTTATCAAGTGAGCTTGAAGAACTGTGGCAGAGTAGCAGCAATAAGGGCATAGCTAATGCTTATTTATCTGCTGCAGACTGATTGTAGGATATGTGTATCCATAGCTCAATCACATTAACATAGGAAACTGTACACAACTCTCTTATTAAATCTCATTTCTGATTTTGTCTTGTGACGCATAAGATTTTATTTCTAACTACAGGGATGTTTACAGGTGCAGAAAGCTCTTCCCCCTTACATCAAAGGACAACTAACAGAGCATTCCTGAGGCATCAGTATTGTACACCAAAGACTCCACTCCATATTAACTGATAGACAGCTCTCTCCCAGCTGAATTTAAACAGATCCATGAACTCCAGACACAGAATTTCAGAAGTACTTCACCTAGTAATAGTGAATTACTACGTCTAAACCACTCAATAGCACAAAGGCAAGCGCAAACAACAACTCAGAGAGTTATGCACCCAAGTAAAGCACCCCTTTAAGAGCCACAGGTGCTTTTCCCCAGACTAGCTCACAGGGAAAGCAGCAACAAGAAGCAGCGTGACTTGCCTTGGCTAAATAGTTGCAATTAAGTATCAGCTGATAATGTTTTATACACTATACTTCTAAAAGAGAAAGGTCCAGATAACAAAATCAATTTCTACAAACCTGCACGTTCAGAATATGAAACCTCAGCAACACCAAGAAATAGCTGCATTTAAAAATACCCACCAACTAAAAATAAGCATTCCCTTGCTTTCTCCCAAAAGCCCTCTTGTAGTAGAAGCCACCTGTTCACCTTTTATGTGCAGGGCTCCAGAATTATAGTTCCGTTCAATTCCTCTGACTTTAGTGAGAAAAAACCTGAAAGGATTGCCTCCAGTCACCAAATCCCAGGTATCTTGGGCTTCACTGGGTATTACATCATACTCCTCCTCTTTCACATTCTCTGAGAGTTTGTCATCTTTGCAAAGATTCAAAGGATGCTCTTCGGACACATCGTGTTTCTCTTCTTTCACTGTTTCTTTGTGGACATGCTTTTGCGGATCTTCAGGCTCTTCATCACTACTAGAAAGACACCAACCTGAACCTTCTTGGCCTGGTCTCTGTTTTGCTGCTGGAGGTGCTTCTGCAGAAAGACTCGTATCAGTGAACTTCACGGGGGAAGCTTTTCTCTTGTGAGCAGCTTTCCTAGCTTCAGAGCATGGATACTGTGGTCCACTAGTACTACCACACGCAGCATCCGATAGTGAAGATGTACGTGGTTTTTCACTGTCCGAATTTTCCTCGGCACTTTCATCACTGCTGGACACTGTCCATTTACCGTGTGCGCCCTCCTGAAGCATGTTCCTAGGAATGGAAAAACACCAAGCAAAAATTGAACATTTCTGTTATGGTCAAGCCTGTCTCACTTCCTAGCTCCCGTTTGTTTATTACTAAAGAACTGTGCTTTGGTATTTGGCAGAAGCTCAGGGAAATTTCCCAGCGTACAAGGCTTGTTTCGGTGGCCGGGAAACAAAGAAACACGTGCAATGGGGGTAACCATCAAATGGGAAGCTGCAAACGTGAAAACCTGCACATGGAAAACAGGCTAAGATAGAAGAAAGCATTCTAAAAACCAGAGGTGTGATTTGCACTACACAGATACTGCCCCATGGCTGAGCGACCCAGCGCGCCCTGCGGAGCGGATTGAGGAGCCCGGGCCCAGCCGGGGCGGCGCTTTCCGGCAGCCCCGCGGGAACACCCCGGGACCGCGGCCTTCCCTCGTCACCCCGTGCCCCCGGCGAGGCCCTCCGCTGTGCCTCCCCCCTAAACCCGCCGGCAGAACCCGGCAGCCACCGCCCCCACCACGCCGAGGCCGTGCGGCCGCGACTCCCGCCATCGCCCCGCAGTGAAAGCGGCGCCCGCGGCCGGGGGAGGCGCCGCGCGGGCCACAGCACCAAAGAGCCCCGGCAGCCGCTCGGGGCCTGCAGCCCGCCGGGCCCCTCGCCAACACTCACTCACCGACCCCACGCCCGCCCTGGCCGCCGCCAGCACCCACGCTGGGGAGCGAGAGCGAGAGCAGGCCCAGGCCCGGCCCGCCCCCTCCGGCGCGGCCCCGCCCCCGAGGCAAAGGCGCGCGGCCGCCGTGAGAGGGCCGGGCGGCTCAGGGGGCTGTACCGCAGAGCGGGCGCGTCTCAGCGAGCTGAGTTATTCTAACGAGCCTTCATTGGACCTTGATATTAGTTATGGGCAGGTGCGGAATTTGCATAATGGTTCGCTCGGCGCAGTGTTAATTGCTGTGTGTGAAGTGCCCCGCTAACGAGATAACTGCGTGAGGGCTTCGGCAAGGAGAGGAGCAAAGCAGGTGGAACATTAATCAAAGGAGGAGCGCGGCCCGCATCAAAGCGCGCTTCGGCTGCTGCGGTGAACTGAGCGCTCGATTCTCGTTACTCTAATTTATTGCAAGCTTGTGGCTGTAGTTAACAAATTCTGGAAGTGTCAACACGCAGTGAAAAGGGCAGGCTACTCCTAGCAAAGATTTCCTGAAAATTCAGCTGGTTTGTGTAATTCTCTCAGTGCTTGTCCGCAGAGCTGTGTATAGCGGTTTTCCCTGAAACGCTCTGTGGATAAACCTTCGCTACGGTCAGATATGATGCTGTATTATCAACCCTTACTGAAGGTGTTCTGTGGGAAAAGCTCTCAGGAACTTTGGATGGATTCCTATGTTAAGTGTGCAGTCTCTTCTCTGGAAATGCTGTTTTGTCTTCTATAGGTACCTCAGAAAATTTGATGGCTTCTGACTACACTTTCATTGCACTCTCTCCTCTTAGTCCCTGTCTGTATAGTGGCTTAATGAGAATTAAAGCTATCTGGCATTTGTCAAGAAAAAATGTATGGTCTGGTAGAAGCAAATTTCATGTGATTTGTTTCCCAGAAGTCTGTACTATGTATTCTAAGTTTGCAAAAAGCTTTTTAATCATAAACACATAAAATGTAGCAGTATGAAAAATTTTATTTTAACCTAAAAATCCCAAACTCAATGGACTTGCCCATTTTCAATTTTGCTGGAACAGAGTAGATGAATAGAGGTGATTTAACAAGTGTTTCTTTTGTTTTTCCTATAACAGTTAAGCAAAATAAAAAATCCTAGGTTAGGTTTATTGGTTTTTAATGCAAATTACTTTCTTTCTGTAGGTTTTTGAAGTGTGCAATGAAGACAGCAAGGGCTATTTAAGCAGAGAAGACTCTACAGTTGGTCTAGTAATGTTTTATTTGCTAGAAACCCTCAAAGGTATATACTTTTTTTATGTTCTGAAGATCCAGCTTATAGATGTCTCACTGTTGAGAACACTGGTCTACACTAATTGGAGTGTGTTGCTGTAGGTGTGGTAAACAGAAATACCTACAAATTCTAAAAGTAATTTTCTAATTTGCATGTATTTATTCCAAAAGAAAATAGTCAAACCCCTGGCTTTTCTGTTGAAGACTGTGATGAGTAAAAGGTTGTATTGTATTTCATATGTGTACAAGATATAAAAAGTGGCTTACTGAGCTTGTTATTGGTGTTTGTTAGTGGTACATTCAATTCTTTATTCAGTGGTTTCAGTAAATGTGAAACTGCTACATATCCCAGCAATAAACATGTATTCTCAAAAATATATCTGGTTTTAGTTTCAGGTAATAGTTGGACATTGTTAGCCATGACTTCTCAAATGTAAATCTACAACTGTACAGAAATCTTAAGAGAAGAAACATTGAGAGAAATAATGTATTTCCATGCTTAGAGGAAAATACAGGATATCTTGTATGGCTTGATGTAGTTTTAGAAGTCATATTTCTACTCAAGTAAGTACAAGTGAATTAAAAAAGAGTATGAAGAACACAAAAGATTTTAGAATACACACAGTGTGTGTTTGTGTCTTTCTCATGGCATGTCAATAAATGAGACTAATCTACTATAAAGTGCATTATATATGTAAAGTATAGAAAGGCTGAATCATCTTTCTTCTTCAGCCTGAGCAATCTTCTTCCCTAATGATCACTTGGGACTAATTATTATTATTATTTTCAAATTAAGCACATATATTACAAAAACTGTCTTGACAAGGTCATAAACAAAATTGTGTCTATGATAATTTAGAGTAAAACCCACAAAAATATTTTAGTAAACTATAAGAGTAGTAATTTGTGATGCATTTCAGCTGTGGGTAAACATTTTCTCAATGAACTGTGGCCAGATCTAAAAATGCTTAAGGCTTCTAACGTGAGCCCTAACTGCTGAATTGTGAATCTCAGAATGCTCAGCTTCTTCCTTATCTATCTTCTCCTAGCTATTTTTACCATATAAAAATTAAGTGTTCTGTCAAATTCCCTGGATGTTTCTTCCAGCAGGAGTGCTCAAAACATGCTTAAGGCATTTAAACAAGAGCAGGCTCTGTGCATGAGTCACTGATAGCATCTCCTTGGAAGGAGAATACAAGTAGAGAACTCCTGGGAAACAGGAGATGCAGGTTTAGTTATTTCTCCCTGAAAAGGTGCCAAGTCACACCTGCTGTGGCTTTAGGCACTACTGTGACCATTTGGTCTGTGCAGCTGCACAAAAATTAATTAAGAAACCTTTGTTCTAGGGCTGATTCTGTCATCTCGTGGTTTTGCTTGCTCCTTAAGTGGACCCAATTCCAGCAACTGTTGCCCTTTACCCAATTAGTGCTCGTTGTGAAGACCCCTAAAAGGTCCCTGGGGAGGCAGATACTTTTCTTTTTGTGGCTCCTGCTAGTGTGCATTAGGTAAGGTTTGTAGCACAGCCACATGTTTTGCTTTTGCTGATGACTAGGTCCTGAGTGTGCTCCTTTCAACATGTGTGTGGTTTTTAATCTGCTTCTGAGAAACACAACTTTCTCTGTGCACCAGAGAGGAACCAAATGCAGATGCTGAAATCCTGAAGGTCAATTGTTAGGATCCAGTTCTTGAGCATGTTATTCTGCAATTGATTTATTTTTAAAATTCACAAAAGCCTAGGCTACAGGACCAGCCCTTCTATTTTTTTTGGAAACGATTGAGAACAGCCCTGGCAAGGAGAATCCTTTCAACTGTTTTTGCAAGACATGGGGAATAGTGTGCATTCATTATTTCTTAAGGTGAAACTGTTTTTCAGCTGCACTGCTTACTAACATAGTACTTTCAGTAGAAATGGCAATTGTTTAGCATCATCAACTGCAGTCAAGCAATTGAATTTTTAGTAAATTGTTGCTGCATTTTTTTTGATCATGTTTGCATTTATTCTATAAATTAAAAGTAATACTAACTTTACCCACTAGATGTCATGAATGAACTCTTCCTTGGAAAAGCTGAGCTCCAAAAATTTGAATCACATTCCTATTCTGCTTGATTTTTCTAAATAATTTGTAATAACAATGCTATATCGTGAGTAAAATATTATTTTAGTATGGTTATTAATAGAAATTTTGAACTTTATGTAATTTTAATGTTTAAATTAAACCTTCTGAGGCAAATAACTGGGAAAACTGCAACCAGAGATTAAACTCATTGTTGAACTGATACTGTATGTATATCTGCATATAAATGCTGTCATTTCTGGGAACTGGCAACGTTGTAGTAATCATGTCTACTGACTTTTATTTTTTCATTCTCTGACAGTTTGGTTCAGTGATCCTCTTTTCTCCAAAATTATTTGAAGTCATCTAAAATACTCTTATATTTCAGCAACCATTCAGCTAACTAGCTCCTGGCATTTTTAGCCTTCCAAATGAAAAGGGGACCGAAGGAATTGTGGTCATTAAAATATGTCATTTCCAAGCTGAAGTTCCTTCCTGGTACTGTTACATTTAGACCTGACTAAAAGCCCTCCCTGCAGTGTTCCTGGGGGGCCAGGCCCCAATGTCCAGGGCTTCCCTTGACCCAAGGCTGTGCCTTCATGGAGGACACCAGCAGGTCAGCAGCTGCTGCTGAACCAGGTGCCAGCAGCAGGGCAGCCAGGGCAGAGAAGGGCAGTCTGAGCTCAAGGCTGCTTCCAGCTGCTCTCCTGGCACATCTTGTCAGAGCTTTCTAGACAGGACTCCCTGTCTGTTTGTATATCTGACATGGTCATGGGGAAGTGTTGCAGGCACGCTGGAACATGCAGCCTCGGCTTAAGTGGGCTCATCATGTTTGGCTTGTCCTTTCTCCAGACTGGAATAAGCTGAGGTTGCTCTGGAATCTGCTCCCATCCCCTCAGGTGGCTGTCTCAGTGCTGCAGCTGTGTGCAGTCTTGTACTCTGATAACCCAGATGGAAGGGTTTAGACTCATGAACACGCAGTCACATCAAAAACCAATATAATACAGCTCAAAGGGACCTCTCTGCTT